CCCCCCCTCCTCTGGCATTCTCCGCGGTGTGAGAACGCAGCGCGCCCCTCGACTCACTGTGACTCATTAAAGACCCTTAATTGATGAAAAGTGTAATTAGCGTGACAATTATAAGAGGAAATCAATATGTTTTTATCCAAAGGAGCCGCACACAGGAGGAAGTGTGTGGAGTCCAAGCGACGGCAGCACGAGGACGACCGCTTACACTCGGATAAAAAAGAAGAAGAAAACTTTAACTTCAACAAAAGAGGTTTTTCTTTCTGTCTGGTTTCGCTGCGACAGATTCGTCCAGAGTTTTACAGACGCTACATCTGAGAAGTTTGGAAACTCTGCGTTTTAGTCTGGACGAGCAGAATCACAGATGCTTACTAATAATATTATATAAATAATATTTAATAATTATATCGTCTTGCTTATGTGGTCAAAACTTAATGGTCTGATTCGTCAGGCTCCTGTCACATGACCACTTTCCATCATCAGCCTCAGCGACCAGAGCAGAACACAACATGGAGAATCAATTACAACAGTTACTAACCTGTTGTCGTTGCTAACTGCTAGCCTAGCTCTTTCTGCAACTATCAACCAAAAGCCTCCCGTGTCCAGCAGCACGGCCACAACACTGTCCCCCTGCTCAAATCAAACAAAGTTAAATATCCTCAATAAATTCTTTCAAACTACTTCACAGGTTTTAAGGAATCGAGAATGAACGACCAGACGGATATGAATGAAAACAATGAATTCATGAGGTTTTTGGCTTCAGAATTTAAATACAGGAAATGATTCAGACGTAAAAACCAATCACTTGATCACAGCAGTTTTTAAACGAGGCTCTTTGTGGTTAAACCTCGGCTCCTGTTGCATCGTCTTGATTCACACATCGTCTTTCAAACTCACACCAGAGAATGAATCCGTTGGTGTTTGAGGCAGCTGTGGGTTTGATAACAGACAAATGTTGAGGTTCAGCTCTGGGCAGCAGCTGAGTCCCCGGCCGGAGAAGCTCGGGGCTCCCCCTCCTTTCTCTTCTGTGCTGCTTGTCTGCCCCCTGCTGGCGAGGGGGGGCCGGAGGGGGAGTCCTGCGGGGATTCTTGCCGGGAGAGCTGGGAGAGGAGGAGGTCCACACTCTGGATCAAAACAAATCAACAAACGACAGAAAGTCTTGGTCTGTTGTGTTGAATGTAATTAAAGGAAACTCACATCAGTCTGAAGACAGTCCACACAGGAGCGGACTCCGTTATGACCTCTGCAAAAGAAGAAGTCAACGTTTTTCATGTTAATTATAAACTTGTACACTGAATGTTTATCTTTGAATCTTGTCAATGATCAGAAAACGTTTTATCAGATGCCCCGGCCGTCAGGTCTGATGTTTATGTGATGAGGGGAACCGACCTGGCGCTTCCTCCATGTTTGATGTTGATCTTCCCCAGAGGTTTGTCCAGTTCATCGTGGACCAGCAGGATGTCTTCAGGCCTGATGCCGTATTTACCAGCTGGAGAAGAAGAGTTAAGATCATAAAATACTCTACGACATCACTTCCTCTCTGTCAAGGAATGTGTTCGTTGACAAAGGTTTAGATTCTGTCATGATGTGTGTTATGTTTTTGTTCACACGCAGTGACCTCACCTGCTTTGGCCACTGACACTCCATTGACGTTCATCAGCAGCCTGGGACGGAGCAGCACCACATGTGTGTGTTGGATCTCCGACACGATGACCTCACCGGACACGTGCTTGTCGCCGCGCCAACGGTCAGCTACATCGAGCCGGGCAGCGAGTGCGCCAAGCACCGCCATGCCGACGCTGTGTCTGGTACCCTCCATCCCCGGGTTGCCCAGTCCCACCACCTGACACACACACGCACACACACACACACACACAAAGACAATATAATGGAGCAGTACATCACCAGCCAAGTTGTTTCAATATATTTTCAAATTGAATTCTGTCGTTGCTCGATGAAGGAACATCGATGATGTGATTTGTAAAAACCTGATGATGTGTACATGTTTAAAAATGAGTCACAATTAAAATAGTTTAGAAAACAGTGATGACACAGTGAAGTGTTTTTCTACAAAGCTCATTGATTCTCACAGAAAAATCCAGAGGAGCTTTTTATTTCAGCAGAGACATTAACACACGTACAGCCGCTGCCTCGTACTGATGGTACTGATCCACTGAGAGCTCTGTGAGCAGAAACACTGAAGAGCACATTGTGTTGGGCTCCACGGCCGCTGCCTGACACACTGCAAACATTGTGCTCTTTACACTAAGCTTTCAGAAAAAGAACACACAATTGTTGTTATGGTGCCACATAAATACACGTAAACATTATACCCACAATGCTACTCTGTGTTTTACGAGGCGTTTTTTGTGACTGAGCTCTTGGACAAACTGGGCCTGTTCAGACTCACGCTAACATTTAAAAGGTCAGGATTACTTACATCGCACAAACAACTGAAGTTGAGCCAAAGTGTAACGTGTGTGAGTATTTGTGTGTCCTCACATGAACCGACGGAGGAAAAACTACATAAATCTGCATAAAAAGAAATAAAAAGACAAACAATATAAATGAGATAAAAAAAAGAGGACGAATTCAAATCAAGATTAAAAAGGTAGGTTTTTAAATTAGATTTGAAATTGTCGACAGAAGGCTGAGACCTGCTGCGGGACGGGAGACTGTACTTCAGTCCACTTTAGTTTTAAGATGAGAACAAATGTCGACATCAAGATTTTAAAATCAGTTCTGGATTCAGTGGGATCTCGTCTAAGTGAACGCAGGAGTTTTAAGATGCAGCTGCAGTTTGGACGATGGTTGGAATCTTAATCTTAAACGTGAGCACTGAGTTTAATCTGTCTGAGGCGAGATAAAAACACAGACCACTGTTTCAAGGTCTTTGTCAGATAAACGTGATTAAGTCCTGTAAAAACGACCCTTGAACAGTAAAAGCTGCTTCTCAGAATGTTACGAACCTGTTGATCAGAATCAAGAGAACATCTTCAAACCAAACCTCATTCTACAATCTATCGATTTAACGTTACCTTGTGTGTTTAGAGACTCAGGTCACGTTGGACACTGATGAATTATTCATTGAACATCTGAAACATAGTGGCACGTGTGCGTATGACAGTTATGCCGAATTAAAAAAGAAACTAAGACCAATGACAGAAATGACATTGAACTTGAGTTGTGAGTTGAGTTTCTCACTGAGCAGCAGAACAACACGGACGTGTCAGACTTTTGAACGATGTTTGGTGAGAAGTGAGAAACTGATTATGATTTCTTAGTATTTTCCAGATGGAGGTGGAACACTCACCAGCTTCCGGGGGGCCGTGTGTGTGTACTCCTGCCTCAGTGACCATCACCGGTGAGAACGACTCGTTCAGCAGAACTCGGTTTAAAACTCTTGATAAAAGTCGACGCATCGTGACAAAGGTCAGAAACTTCCGGAGCAACTGAGACAAACAGCGACAGGATCGATTTAAAATGTTGCTGAGTGTCATTCGGCTGTAAAACCGATTCTCTCATCAACTCCAGTTCCGGTGGTTTTTAATGTTTACAGCGACGACTCCGACATTTTCCACCACAATTCAACGAGTGTTGATTCTGTCGATCAGCTGATTTCTCTACGGAGTTTGTTTTCATCAGAACCGATTCCCCAGTTCAATTAAAGTGTATTTGAATTAACGTTATATTAAAAATGTCGCTTTAACACAAACATCCTTCTTCGCGTAAATATTTTAAACCCTTATCGTTGTTTTTACGTCTTTGCTGTGAAGGTAGTGTTAGCTTACCGGCCAACGTTAGCTTACTGTACCTTGTTGCTAACTCATAACCGGATGACACCGTGTTAAAATACCCGCTGAACGCGGTGAGAGGATTAAACCCGGAGAGAAAAACATGTAAACCAGGTTAAAAGATAATTCACGCTTTAAAAACCATCTCATCTCTGACATGAGGCGACGTTAGCTTGTTAGCATGTTAGCATGTGGTCGTGTAGCTTCATCACAGCAGTCAACGAGAAGAAGAAAGACAACATGAGCCGAGGCTACACCGCCATCTAGCGGCGAGACTGAGACCCTGCACGTTTACACTCAACAGGTGCACAGAGTAAAAAGATCTGTTTGCTCGTGTCACTCATTAAAATCATAAAAACACATGTAAATATATTATATTTAAAATGTTCAGATGGTATGATCTAAATAAATATGTGGTTAGTAACTGTCCTTAGACAGACAGAGGACCATCTCTGTCCCTAATGGTCCTCTGTCTGTCTTCATGTTGTTTCTCTTCTGTTCTCTGGAAATGTTTCAGTTTGTCGATACCAGTCAGAGGATTTCTGTGTGTGAATAATTAATCATTGAATAATGTCAGAAAAATAAATATCCTGGAAGATAATCAAATAAAAAACATTTAAACAGTTGTTTAAAATCGTCTTTATCCCTTTTTTTAAACGAAATGTTCAGTTTCACATTCACTGTATTGATTGTTGTTTTCATGGTGTAAATGTTTTATGTTTAGGATTGTTAACGATAAAACTCAAAGAAGACAAATAGCTCCTTTTAAAATTGTAACTGTTTTTATTTAGAAAACAGTTTTTCTCAGGTTTTTTATTTTTTGTCTTGTTGTGAATCACGTTGATCGGACTGATCACGTTGATCGGACTGGTCCGTCTTGAGCTGAGGGGCAGGGGACAGCGTCAGGCACCAGCTGACACCTCTCCACCACGGCGTTGATCTCGCCGATGTTCACGTCGCTGTAGGTGCCCGTTATGTACGTCCAGTGGGTGTCCCCTTGGTGGTTGGTCCTGCTCAGCCTGCCGGTGAAGGGGATGTCGGCGGTCATCTTCCGACCATCCATCCTCACAGTGCAGGAGTGGTTGGGTGGGACGAGCAGCTCCACAGAGACAGAGTGGCTGATGGACTCCACGGTGGTGGTCCCTTCGGAGAAGGTCACCATCTGCTCCTTGGTGAAGTCCACCGTCCCCGGGCTGAGGATGGGCACTTTGGCCTTCATGGTTGAGACGGAGCCGTTGCGGGTTTCCCTCCCGATGTCCCAGCTCTTCTCCACCGTGCTGGTCTTCTCCAGCTGCACCACCTTCACCACGTTTCTGCACTCCAGGTTGGTGACCTTGGCGAGCTTCAGAGCCTCGGGAGGTTGGTGGAACAGCTCCATCTGGTCGACGGCGTACTCCACATGAGAGATGTGCTGGCTGTAGATGTCCCTGTCGATCGCCAGGACCTGGTATGACTTATACCAGTACTCGTCGCCCTCCCAGGGGAGGAAGAAGGCCTCATGTTGGGTCACCACTTTGCCAAGTCCGTACTTGTTTTTCCCCACGTAGATGTCTGAGTTGGGGCAAGTTTTGATGGAATACTTGGGGACGGATCCATACGAGTCTTCAACCCAATGCAGGAACTCAAAGTGGTCGACATTGACCAGCAACTCAAACTTGGAGGAAGAATACTCGTTGTCGGCGTAGGGATACTGGCAGAAGCCTCCTTTGCTGGGGGTGTAGAAACCGGCTTCGCAGTTGACTTTGCAAACGTAGTCGGTGCGTTCGGTGTAGCCGTTGTAAATGGCGACGGCACCGTTGGGGAGGGAGCGGTTCCACGTGACCCACTGGAGGTTGACGTGTTCGTCAAACATGGGGAAGGAGTGAGGGGTCGTCTCGGTTTCTGGGAAGTCTCTAACGTATGGAGGGTTGATGACTTCACGAGAAGGAACAACATCTTCCTTTGTGGGGTTCAGCCATAACTCTGCAGGACAATGCAAAGAAAATGAGTCTGGGTTTAAATGTATAGATTCAATGATATGGAGCAGTTGTTGACACGGTGCGAAGCTAGTTTATTCAATCTTAAGTCAAAGTATGATTTGACTTACTGGGTTTCTCTTGTCCGTCCTGTAGCCGGGAGACGTACAGCTGTGGGCTGGACTGCAGCGCCGGGCTGCAGAGCTGCAGCAGCACGAGGACGACGGCGACGCACCAACTCATCTGGACACACAAACAGAACCGGTATGTCAACATCAAACTGAACCATCAACATAAACTGAACTCATGTAAAAGAGGTTTCATTCCCACTTGTGTCTTTTCCTGGTCAATTAAAGTTTCAGTATAAAACCAGGAGCTGGTGAAGGAATTCTTTCTAATCATTTAGACGATGTTTGAGATTTTTAAGCAGATTTTTGGCTCAAAACCAAGTTGAACAAACATTGAAAATGAGACAAAAAAAATCCCCCGGCCAGGTAAAAAGAAAACTTAAAATAAAAATACAGTAAAATAAAAATATAGACACGGAAACAGAAATAAACAAACTTTCTCCATTGGTATAATTAAAGTTTAATCCATGTAAGAAAGAAATAAGTAAAATAAATGACAAGACAAAATAAAAGTCCCTTTTAAAAATATTGTCAAAAGTAGGATTGTTGCAAATTTACAAAAGTGCAAAACACAGTGCAGGTCCTCACATGTAGCGTGAAGAAAGCTGTTCTACGTGTACAAACCATTAATTATTATTATAAGAACATAATAACACGCAGCATTTTCTTCAGGTGGTTTAAATGTCTGAGTTTAGTTTATTGATCGACGATCAGTTTTACAACAGTTAGACAGTGAAATGATGTAAATCAGGAAAAGGAGCAGAACTCGAGGATCAGTTTTTACCTGGACTGGTTCCTGCTGCAGTGACGCTGCCTCAGTGTGAACTCAGGTTTAAACCACATCACAGGCTTATCACCCCCCCC